GAGGAGGAGGAGGAGGAGGAGGAGGAGGAGGAGGAGGAGGAGGAGAAGAAGAAGAAGAAGAAGAAGAAGAAGAAGGAGAAGGAGGAGGAGGCTATGAAGATGGCGCCTCTCCTGAAGGCGGGCGGGTGTGCGAAAACAAGTGGAAATGCGCCAAGAGAGGAGGCATCTGCAAGTCAGATGGTCTCGGCGTGTGCGAACGTGTCGAGAAAAAATGCGGCGGAAATGGCTGCTTCTGCTGCATCATGAAAAGAATGAAAAGTGAGTTATTACCGAACGTTTATTTTAGTATCGCATCTACCTGTTTACATGCGCGTGACATGCATATAAGCTAGGTAAATGCATCGTGGTATGAATTACATAGCCATAACTTTTTCTTATCTACTGTAAACTTGTCAGAATGCAAACAGAGGAGGTCGTGTCACAGAAAGGGAGGAATTTGCATGAAGAACTGCTACCACGATGACAAGGTGATTCCTGGGCTCTGCAACAAGGACTGCTCCTGCTGCGTCTTTCCAGGTAAACCACAATGAACCTGCAACAGATCTAGAATAATATGGCAACAAATCTGGGTCTTATTTAATACCTTTCTGTAATAAAAATAAAGAAGAATAGAAAAGAAGTATCCAGAGTGGAAACAAAAATACAATATTTTAATTAACTTCTGAGATTAACTTCTCTCCCTCCAGATGTTCTCAACGATCAAGGAGGAGGCGCCAGCACTGGTAAGGCAAAAAAAAAAAAAAAAAAAAAAAAAAAAAAAAAAAAACCTTAATAGTGTTCTATCTTACCTCGTTATCGAAGAAGATCCAACGCGCATACTTTCTTCCTCTTTAAGCTTGCGTGCAGAAGAAACCCTGTCTTCACACCGGCGGAGAGTGCAAGGAGAACTGCCACGCAGACGAGGTTTTAGTGCCCGGATTGTGCAAGAAGAAATGCCGGTGTTGCGTCCCTGAAGGTAAGTCTCAGGCAGTCGGGACGCATCGAGTCATGTCTATCATTTCCCTTTACTAAGTTCCCCTCTCCCTTCTCTTTTATTGGAGGTGAAATGAAGGACGATGTTAAAGTTGCCTCTTTCATAGTAATTGATTTTAATTATTTAAGGGTTTCTTTCGGTTGTAGCTCGTAGGCGGAAAAGAAATAGTGAAAAAAATCGGGAAAAGGCGGGAAACGATTATAAAGTGAGTGAAATCTTGCTGAATCTGTAAAGCGAGTGTAATCTAATTTCCAACAGAGATATTGGGGCAAGGAGGTGACACTGATATGGATGCTGGAAGCCAAACTGGTAGGTGGTAGATGTTTACTGTATGTACGAACAAGCTTTGGAGAAATGGTTGCAATGTTATAGAAGATGAAAATGTTGCTAAACAGATTGATTGTTTGAGTATTCTATTTCTTTGCATGTGTGTGTGTGTGTGCGCATGTATTTTTATTTCACTAGGTAGTGTATTGATAAGTACTATGATTTATAACACAAAGGGAGTTTGTCCGTGCTAATTCTTTCCTGAAGGATTGTTTAAAAATGTTCTTTCCTGAACCAGAAGACGGTTTCTACATTGAAAGAAGAGAAAACAACAACGAAACAAAACAAACACACAAACAATGTAATACTATACTCTCCCAAAGTAGGAATATTCCTCCATAATATATCCCTCTCAGACTGCGAGCAGATGAAGCACTGCCTCGTGACTGGGGGACAGTGCAAGATGAGTTGCAAGGAGGAAGAGGTGCCAGTGCCCGGTCTGTGCAAGATGGACTGTCAGTGTTGTCTTCCAAAGGGTAAGCTTCTTAAGGTTTCGTTGAGGAGAACAAATGGAGATTTCGGTTAGGAGAACAAATGCAGATTTCGTTGAGGAGAACAAATTATTTCTGATAGAAGAGCAAATGCAGATTTCGTTGAAGAGATAATAAAAAATGGCTGATATTTCCAAATTGAGAAACTTCTCGGTTGATTTCTAAGAACAAACGATTTATGCAGATTATTTCAAGAGCAAATTGGAAATTCCGGGACCTTATATTGTACAGGGATATTTTCTGAAGTTGATGAGTATTTTTCTTTAAATTTCTGAAGACTATTTATTTTCACAGATATTCTTGAGCTTGAAGAAGAGGGCGGAGTGTCAGCTAAAGGTATTGGCGAGGCATTTTAGTAAACCTCTGAATACGTCTTGAATCGTTCTTTTTGTTTTACCTTTGATTTTCATGTATAATCCCACACACACTCACACACACACACACACACACACACACACACACACACACACACACGGTTATTTACATCTCGACGAAACTTCAAAACGCGTATTGTCTATTCCCTCTCAAGAAATAACAAACAATTCAAAATAAACCCTATTCCTTCTCCCAGACTGCAAACAGAAGAAACGTTGCTTTAATGCAGGGGGACTTTGCAAAACCGCCTGCTACTCTACGGAAGAATTACTCCCTGGGCTGTGTCAGAAAGACTGCCAGTGTTGTGCTCCTGAAGGTAAAAGTTTCCCTTAGT